TTTCCTTGTCCCATTCCACACTTGCTGAGCTGGTGCTGGTTAAAAACTTCCTGTTGAGTCACTGCTGGTGGATGGGAGGATTTGGGGTTGGTTTGCACCCTGAAGGCCAGGCAGCACTGGGATGTACATCCTGCTTTGTCATGTGTGCACATCCTGCCCACTTCTGGCCCCATCTCAGAACCCCAGAATGGTTGGGTTGGAAGGCACCACAAAGATAACCCAGTTCCAATGGGCAGGGTGCCCCTCACCAGACTGAGAAGCAGCTGAAAGGTTGCTGCAGCTCGCACAGGGGCTGTTGTGCAGTCAGTGTCGTTTTTAATTGAGAAATACTCCAGAGCTATTCCAGCTTCTCCAGGCTGGGGGGTTTAGGATTGGCCTGTCCTGCTGGATCAGCCCCAGTCTCTGCTGAGACTCAGGAAACCTCCAGAGTGTGAGGTTCCAGGGCTGTGGGGCTGGCACAGTGGGAATGCTGTGTGCCCACACCCTGCATGGGTGCCCACATCCAGCCAGAGCCTCCTGCCAGACTCTGTGGGGCTGGCACAGTGGGAATGCTGTGTGCCCACACCCTGCATGGGTGCCCACATCCAGCCAGAGCCTCCTGCCAGACTGGTTGGGCTGGAAGCTGCACAGAGCCCAGAGCTGACCAGGAGGTTCCTGATCCCCAGGAGGGCCTGTCCCTGTGGGAATGGGGACTAACCCTGTTGCTGTGCTGCTCCCCAGCTGATCCATGGCACTGTGGTGGACACAGCCATCGTGTTCCCCCACCGCCTGGGGCTGCCCTACAAGCGGGCGCTGCGCACGCTGATGGCCGACTACCTCAAACGCATCATCCAGGACAATGGTGAGACCTGAGGGACCTCCTGGCTGTGCTCTCCTCAGCCCTGCCTTCCTCTGCTCTCCCCAGCCCTCCTGACACTGTGTTTTCTGCCCTGCATGTGTGTGGTAGCTGGAATGTGCTTGTGTAAGAAGCCTCAGCCACAGCTCATTTGTGTGACCCCTGTTCCAAGGGCAGAGCTCTCCTTCCTTCCCTCCCTGTGCAGAGTGGGACCAAGGAAGGGATGTGGGAAGGGTGAGGGTGATTCTACCAAGATCCAGTCCTGCCCTCCCTTCTCTCTCTGCTCAGCTGGGATGGACCCTCCTGTTGGAAGTGGGGCTTTTTCCCTCCTGTCATTCTAAACACTGCTGGGGAAGCTCCCAGCTGTTCCATAGCTGATGGTGTCAGGCTCAAACCCAGCAAAAATGTGGGTTTGGTGGAAAAAAAATACATGTTTAATGTTAGGAGTGTTCAGCCTGGAGAAGAGAAGGCTTTGGGGACTCCTTAAAGCTCCTTGCAGGGCCTGAAGGGGCTCCAGGAGAGGGACTGGGGACAAGGGATGGAGGGACAGGACACAGGGAATGGCTCCCACTGCCAGAGGGCAGGGCTGGATGGGAGATTGGGAATCAGGAATTGTGGAATCCATCCCTGGAATGGATTTCCCAGAGCAGCTGTGGGTGCCCCTGGATCCCTGGCAGTGCCCAAGGCCAGGCTGGGCAGGGCTGGGAGCAGCCTGGGACAGTGGGAGGTGTCCCTGCCATGGCAGGGCTGGCACTGGAGGGGCTTGAACAAACCATAAACCACAAACCATTCTGGGATTGTGTGGAATCCTTTCAATCCCAGCTGTGCTCAGGGGGCTCCCAGGTGTGGCTGTGGCTGCAGGGCCAGGGAGGAGCTGCCTCTGCCTGGGGAGCTCCCTGGGCTGGGCTGGGCAGGCAGAGGGCTCAGTGGCCCTGTGTTTGTGTCCCCAGTGGAAGGACACGACTCCAGTGAGGATGCCAGAGCCTGCATGGAGCTGATGGTGTGGAAGATCAAAGAGGATGCCAAGGTGAAGCGATGACCTCGTGTGGTGTCTCTGCCGTTCTCCTGCGCCTCTGGGAAGAAGCAGTGCAATAAATGCCCACAGCCACTCTGTCCCCCGTGCCAGCAGCATGTTCCTGCTCCCCACCACCCCTGCAGGACTCCTGCACTCACACCTGCAGCCCCCTGCCCAGCTGGTGGCTCTCAGATCCTCAGGCTCCACCTGAGGGATTCTCTGTGGTCCAAGCTCTGCCTGTTGGGCCTGGCAAGGTGGTTTGGAGTAGCACAACCAGAACTTGTTGGTTCCTAGGAGAAGCTTGTTAGAGGTAGGTTGGAGATGTGCAGAAGGATCTTTCTGGTTCAGTTAAAGGTAGATTGTTTACTTTTTTTTTTCTCCCAAATATAACTTAAATTGCCTCTGTACTCCAAAGCAATGTTTGGAGAGGGGGGAGATGGAAGGAGGTTGGGCAGGAAGCTGTGAAGGGATTGTGGAGCTGGTGTGGGAAGCAAGAGCTGAGGATCAAGCACTTGGGAAGGGATCCTGGTGCAGTCCCACAGTGGAGCTGCAGGAGAGGGGCTGGCTCTGNGTCCGGTCTCTGAGCCTGTGTGGAGCTGGCTGTGCTGGCAGTGCAGGCAGTGGGGTCGTGTCTGTCACCCCTGGTGTCACCTGAACTCTCAGTGGCTGCTGCTGCCCAGGGTGCCAGAGCTGGACAGGGCTCTGAGCAGCCTGGGCTGGTACAAGGTGGAACAAGATGGTCCCTAAGGTCTCTCCCAACCCAAACCATTCCATGATTCTGTGACTGATCCCAAACCATTTGCCTCTCACCTCTGCCTGATCTGTTCTCTGTTCTGTGCCAGCTTTTCTAGGAATTGTGGTGTTATTTTGGTGAAATTATTTTGACCTTTTACCTGTCCTGTTTCCTGCCTGGCCCTCACCAGCCTGGTGTGCCCAGGGCCCTGCCAGGGACTGTGCCCTGCACTGAGGGGTTTGTCCTGGGTCACCAGGACAGGAGCCAAGTCTTTGTGCTCACATGCCAGAATTCCCTCAGCCATTCTTTGTCCCACAGCTCTCCTGCTGAAGCCTCTGTGGCTGCCAGCTCCCAGGGCTGGGCTGACTTGGAAGCAGGAGCTTTTCATGCCTGTAAAACACTTTACCTCTCCGTGGCACCCTTTATCCCAGCCTTGGAGAGGCTTCATCATCATCAGAAAGACATTATTTGCAGTTAGATCAGCTCGAGATGACTGCCTTGGCCTCTTAGAGGCTTGATTTTCTCTCAGCACCACAGCTGCTGCCAAGAGGAGGAGCCCAGAGCAGTGTGGGGTGTCACAGCAGAATGGCTCAGGGCTGTGGCACTAAAGCCATATCTCACTAATGGCTGTGGCAACTTCCAAGTGCTGATGGCATTTCAAGTTTTATTTAAGGCTTTATTATCCTGTTTCCTCACTCTTCCTGATCTACATAAGTAATTACCAGTGTGTCTGGGAGGGTGCCAGGGCTGAGTGCAGGCCAGGGGAGATTATCCATAACATTGGCAGTTTTGTATTCTGAGGAGAGGAGCAGGTTGTTCCTGTTAAAGTGCAGTTGTGGAGCTGTTCCTGATGGAGTTCTGGCTTGTCCTGCAGTGTGAGCTGGTGCCTGGGGGCAGAGAGGAGAGGGGATTATCAGGGTCCTGTCAGTTATCCCTGTTAGGACAGGACACAGGTTTATCTCTTAGGCCCTGCCCTTCACTGCTGTGCTCAGGATGTGGGATTGCCCTCACCCACTGAATGCAGCTCATGACAGCAGAGAATTCATCTTGTTTTAACCTGAGAGGAAGAAATCAGTGTTAAAAAAGGCAAAGCCAGCCTGCCCTGTGGTTATGGACTTTATCAGGTAGAGCCTTTTGGCTGTCCCCAGCCCCCTTGGTGCAGGGCAGGGAGCACTTTGACCTGGTCAGCATCCCCAGTTCCCCCAGCTTGGTGACAATTCAGAGCTGAGCTGATGGATTAGAGGGCTGGAGCCCCTCTGCTCTGAGCCAGCCTGGCAC